CCAGGAGTTGGAGGTTGCTATGAGCTGTAATGCCACGGCACTCTACCCAGGGGGACAGCTTGAGGCTCTGTCTCAAAAAAAAAAAAAGAAGAGCAAAATCTCACTGCTATTCATGACTTTTTTGTCCTAATGTTTAGAACCTGGGAATATTCATCACTCTGAGTGAGACAGGCCAATTCAAGAACTCCACCACCACCTACCACACGACCATTGGAAGAGCAAATCCTTGTCATTGTCCGGCCAGCTCAGAGTCACTGCTGTGAAAGGATCTGTGTATGGACCAGGCTTCATATACACCTCCATGTCGCCTTTATCATTCTGCAGAAAAAGCAGCCAGCAAGGGGGACACCTTGCTGTGGTTAACTCAGCCTCGCCAGGGGGTGCCCTCCACCCCAGAGTGAAGATAGAGCCCAGCCAATCCTCCTGGCTTCCCCTCATGTTGCTCTGAATGGCTGGGTAAGTCACCTTATTCCAAGTGTGGGCTCAGGGTCCACCATGCTTTCACCTGTGTGAGCAGAGGCCATTCTGGGCTGGCCCTGTGCTTGATGCTGGACATACAGAAATAAAGAAACTCAACTCTGCCCTTGTCTGTGGGGAATAGCAAGGATAGGCAGGTCAAGGGACAATTAAACCAGATGGAGAACTGCTTCAGAGGGGGGAGCTTGGGCAATGATGCAGGCCCTGGGGCTGTTCAAGTCTTAGACTGGATCATTTGCCTGTCACCTCCAGCCAATATCTAAATCTCTGAGCTTCTGTTCCTCCCAGGGTTTGACAGCATCTGCCCCTGAGGTTGCCGTGATTTAGTCTGCTTAACACTGTGTGTGGCCCTGAGAAAAGACGCAGGGCTGTTGCTTTTATAAACCAGCTAGCAGGAGTGGCGAGGTGCCCCAGAGGACAGGCTCCCAGAGGAGGAGGGGGAGGAAGGGTTAGCTTATAGCAAAAGGGGTTGGCAGGATGCATGCAGTGCTCTAGAGTAAATTCTGGTGATACCTGTTAAACATTCCCAACTCTTGCTCAAGCCTAGAATGCTTGGCCTGGAATAACTTGAGGCCACAGTGGAACTCAACCCCTAATGGCCTGAGAATGAAATCCAAACTGCTTCCTGCAGCACCTAAGGCCCACATGGGTTGGCCTCTGTCCATCTCCCTGCTGTCTCCTTCCCCAACCTGCCCCACCAGGCTCCAGCCACACTGGCTTCAGGCCATTTCCAGCCTCCCCACCTTCTCATCCCACCTACCCCGAAAGCTCTCATCCTTCTTTCCATCCTAGCTGACTGTCTTATTTTCATGTGCCCACTTCACTGTCGCCTCTTGAGAGGCCTTGTCTGATCACATTTGCCAGACCACCCCCTTTTAGTGGCCATCACAGTACCCTATAGATTCTTGTTAGACACTTAACACAATTCCTAATTATATGCTAATTTCTTTGGTAGTCTCACCCAGTAAGCCTGATGTAGGCAGGGACCACATCAATGTATTCACCATTGTATCTCTAGCACCGAATGTCATGCTTCGAACATTGTAAATTCATAATATGTCTTTGTTATTGGATAAATGCATGCATGAACAATCTCAATAGTGAGGAGGTAAAGACTCGATCTTGTTATGAAAACTGAAGAACATGGGGCTTGGTGCCTGTGGCTCAATTGGCTAAGGTGTCAACCACATACACCTGAGCTGGCGGGTTCAAATCCAGCCTGGGCCTGCCAAACAACAATGATGGCTACAACCAAAAAAAAAAAAAAAAAAAATTAGCCATTGTGGCGGGTGCCTATAGTCCAGCTACTTGGGAGGTGGAGGCAGAAGAATTGCTTGAGCCCAGGATTTGGAGGTTGCTGTGAGCTGTGATGCCCCGGCACTCTACCCAGAGCAAGAGCTTGAGGCTCTGTCTCAAAATAATAATAATAATAATAAAATAAAGAACATGGGCCTGCTGACTAATATGAAGCTACATTAGAAAGCTATAAATTTCCCTCTGATCATGGCTTAGCGGCATTCCACACATTTGCATAGGTTACATTATCATTGTCATTTAGTTAAAAATATTTTCTAATTTCCCTTGCGCCTTCTTCTTGACTATTTAAGTTTCAAGATACCTAAGAGATATCTACATACCGTAGATGGCTTATGATTGATGCATAACTTAATTCTGTTATGGTGAGAGAACATTCTAGGCTTGGTTTCAATCCTTTTGTACCTCTTTTCAAATGGAAAGAGGCTTGGGGATTCCTGGTACTTGGACCTCTTGGACCAAGCAACAAAACTCAAAAACTAAGACACAGTGCTTGGACATTGTTGTCATGTAAGGTTAAATAAAGGTTTTTCTTTTTTTCTTTCAAATACTCACATTCTTTTCTTCAGCATTCATTCCAGAAGGTTCTTGGAGGCTGGCAGGGGCTGTGAACACAGTGAGAATGGGTATCAAGCTTTGGCTGAAAACTTTATACAAGAGGCCAAGAGGCCAAGTTAGAAGGTCCCCAGGGGCATCCCCTTATCTTTGGAAAGAGAACATAGTAAATATTCAGGTCATAGGGAAACAGGTCAAAAGAAAATCATCTAGTCTACCTTTGAGCTAAAGCTAGTAGTTAGGAGTTAAGAAAGAGGCAGCTGTCAATAAAGAAAGAACACAGGAGTTAAAAGTCAGACAGAGGCAGGTCATCCTGCTAATGCGTAACTAACTGCCAGTGGAGGGGTTGGGAGTGAGGCCCTGATGTGTAGTGTTTGCTCACACCCAGGCTGCAAACATTCCCACTAGGGTGGATCTCAAGCTACCAGCCTGACCTTCCCGACTGTGCAGTGAGGAGAGATGGGCATGGTCAGCTCTAGCCAGCTGGTGGGAGCAGTGTGGATCACGATGGTGTGTTTTTTTTACCCTTTAATTGGCCCTTTTTTTTTTGAGACAGTCTCACTCTACTGCACTCTGTAGAGTGATATGACATCATAGCTCACAGCAAATTCCTGGGGCTTAAGCAATTCTCTTGCTTCTGCCTCCCAAGTAGCTGGGACTACAGACGCCTGCCACACTGCCTGGCTATTTTTAGAGACCAGGTCTCGTTCTGGCTCAGGCTGGTCTCAAACCTGTGAGCTCAGGCAATCCACCCATCTCGGCCTTCCAAGTGCTGGGATTATAGGCACTAGCAATCCTCCTGTCTCAGCCCCCCAAGTAGCTAGGACTACAGTCACAGGCCACAATACCTGGCTAATTTTTTAAACTTTTTGTAGAGACAGAGTCTCACTATGTTGTTCAGGCTGGTCTTGAATGCCTGGCCTCAAGCAATCCTCTTTCCTTAGCTTCCCAAGGCACTGGGATTATACCATGTTTCCCAGAAAATAAGACACTGTCTTCTGTTTATTTTTTCTCAAGAAGACACACTAGGGCTTATTTTCAGGGGATATCTCTGTGCTGAAATGCATAGGCGTGGCTATGCAGCGTATCTATCTATGCATATCTGCATAGCCACGCCCATCACTAGGTCTTATTATTGGGGTAGGGCTTATATTTAACAAATGCATAGAAATCCTGCTAGGACTTATATTTTGGGTAGGTCTTATTTTCAGGGAAACACGGTAGGCATAAGCCAATGCATTCCACTCAGAGAATTCTTTTATTTATTTATTTTTTGAGACAGAGTCTCACTATGTTGCCCTCGATAGAGTGCTGTGGCATCACAGCTCAGAGCAACCTCAAACTCTTGGGCTTAAGGGATTCTCTTGCCTCAGCCTCCCAAGTAACTGAGATTACAGGCACCCACCACAACTCCCAGCTACTTTTTTTTTTTTTTTTTTTTTTGAGACAGATCCTCAAGCTATCCCCCTGGGTAGAGTGCCGTGGCATTACAGCTCACAGCAACCTCCAACTCCTGGACTCAAGCGAGTCTCCTGCCTCCGCATCCCAAGTAGCTGGGACCACAGGCGCCCACCACAATGGTTGCAGCCATCATTGTTGTTTGGCGGGTCCGGGCTGGGGATTCGAACTTGCCACCTTAGGTGTACGTGGCTGGCGCCTTAGCCGGTTGAGCCATAGGCGCCAAGCCCCAGCTACTTTTTTGTTGCAGTTGACATTGCTTAGCAGGCCCAGGCCAGGTTCGAACATGCCAGCCCCAGTGTATGTGGCCGGCGCCCTAACCACTGAGCTACAGGTGCCAAGCCAGAGAAAATTCTTAATATTTGTAGAATGTGATGTGTATTCAGAGACCTGTTTTGAAGAGCCCCTCACAAGCTCTCAAGCAAGTGCAATGCCCTCAACTCCTCAAGGGGCCAGGTTTTATGGTCTCTTGTAGAAACACCTTGCCTGTGACAGTGATGTTTCCAACCTCCAAACTCAAGTTTGAGAAGGCGTTCTTCACCAGCACGGTGACCAGAAAGGTGCCTGCAACGCGAAGCACAGAGAATTATGAGTGTCGTCCATAACTGTTCAGCTTGGGGGAGTTATAGGTGTCGTCCATAACTGTTCAGCTTATCTCTCAGCCTGTTTCTGTCCAGTCCACCTGTGACACCATGTTATCTTTCACCCGCTGAGCACTTAATGAACTCCCGCTGTATGCCAGGCACATGGCGCAAGGCTCTGGGACACAGAAATGAAGGTCCCTGTCCTCCAGGGCTTTATCAGCTGGTAGATATGTAGGACAGTTAAGTGCCAAACCATGGTAGGAATTAGCATCTGGGCATTGTGGGCATGGGGTGGGGTTGCTTCACCCTCAATGGCTCATGGGAGGGCACCAGGGCTAGAGCTAACCCCAAAGGATACGTGAATGCCATTAGTCAGATTAGAAGAGGGATCTCCCAGAGGCAAAGACACAACAGGACCGTAAGAAGGGGTGCGAGAGCAGAGAGGGACAAGAAGGATGTATAAGATCCATCCGAGAACACCTACTAACACAGATGTATCCCATCCCTTCTCCCCTTGTGGGATAGGGGTGGGTAGTGGGGGTGATTTTTCCTCCCTTCAAGTCTAGGGAGAGGGTCTTCAGAGGGGACCCTTCCCTGGAAAACTTGACATGTACTTTTTGAGGTATGAGAACCCCTGGGCAACCTCCTTCCTCATGCCCTGGAAGGGACAGTTTGTGATGAGGGGAACTGCATTTGGCTGGGTATAGGCCAAAAAGCAGGTTAAGAATCTGATCTGTCAGTTCCTCAGTCTTAGATTTCTATAGAACTTTATGAAGTAGATGTTAGTTCTTTAAGACAAAAAAAAAAAAAAGTAAGGATTTTCTATGGGCCAATGTGGGCCTTGGTGAGAAGGGATGTGAAGAGGGCGTGGAGAATGAGGAGAGTGCAGCAGAGAGAGGGAGGTGGCCCAGGAGAAGCTGCCACTGGGTGCAGCCAGCTTAGAGGGACAGCATCCCCCCGACCCCCCCACCCCCCCGCAGGAAGCTGTGGTCTCAGAGCTTCTCCTGCTTGAAAGAGGCAGCTTCAAACTTCTGCTAGGCTAGCACCGCCAAGGTCAAATGCTCCCGTCCTGTCCTGTTCCCTGTCCTTCCTCTCACCCCTGTAACCCCTGGGAGAGTCCAAATCTGTTGGTTTTAGGGGGAGGAGACATCTGCTAATCACCTCAGAGGGAGCAAAAATGTCACAAGGCAGCCAAAGATTTTACAGATGACTAAGACATAAACTTCCCCTGTTACGGGAGTTACATTTATAGGAAGTAGAATTAAACTTGCATTTGGATTACAGCCTGTGTACTGTGTGTACTTTCCAGTTTCAGCAAATTCTGGGTTCTTCCTGTTTCAAGCTGGACCCCAGATACCCAGTGAAGTTCCAGTGGTTTGCTTCTAGAACCTTTTGCTGACTCTTCTGCCAAGCCCCTTGCTGAAGGCGGATGATTCACTAATACACCTGTGAGACGGGGTGAGCTGCAGGCAGGTGCCAGGTGGGCTGGAGACTCCAAGATTCTCAACACATTCCTGCCCTCAGATCTCATCTCATGGCCCTCAAAGACTCTCTGTTCCTTTCAGATTAAATGCAAATGTGCTCTGTGGCCTCCAGCCCTGACTGGTGCCAGCCAGTCTGTCCCCCAGCCAGCGTCATGATGACACTGTCTCTCTCCATCCTCCTCTCTCCCACCCTTTAGTTTTTAACCCAACTCCACCACCACCCCCAATGGACTCTGTCCTCTGCAGAAATCCAAATACACCTGCTTTTTTCTAGTCATTCTCAACAGGGTGACTCTGCCCCTCAAGGACATTTGACAATGGCTGGAGACATTTTTGGTTGTTGGGATTTAGAGCACTGGTGCTACTGGCATCTCGTGGATGCTGCTAAACCTCCCAAAGTAACAGCCCCCAACTCTACCAAAGAATGATTCAGCCCCCAATGTCAGAAGTGTCAAGCTTGAGAACCCCTGCAAGCATAAGCTCCACGAAGGCAGATAACACCTGTCTCTTCCTTAGTTTTTGATCCAGGCAGGATGTGGTGAGCCATGTTTGGGCCCAGTGCCCACTGAAAAACTGACTGGCAGGACCCGGGGTACCAAGTCAGGAAGGGAAGAGGAGGGAGGTTTGGAAGGGGAGCCACCAAGAACAAGTACCTTCCACTGGAACAGCCACACGGTAAACCCTAAACGGCTCCCCGAAGCTCAGTTCCTCATGGGAGAAGGTTGCATTGAGTCCTGCCAACTGGAAGGTCAGCTCCTCTGGGCTGCCCCGAGCCACTGAGACATTGATCAACAGGTCCTGTCCGAGCTCCAGATGGTCTGCCGCCCAGGAGGCCTGCAATCCGGACAGCAGCTCCAGGAAGTGGACCGTGATGTTCCGGGAGGGTGTGGAGATGGAGGTGTTGCCAACGGCTCCGATCTGCAGGTGGTGCATCCCAGGGCCCATCTGTTCCTGAATTTCTCTGTCCAGGGTCAGATTGTATGACAATGGGCCCCTCTGGGTGGTGAACCCCGCCAGGGTGATATTACCCAAAAGCACAGAATAGGTCATCCTTGTTCCTAGGTGGGGTAAGAAAAATTTAAGAATGTTAATTACAACCACGCAAATGATAGTACCATGGTCGTTCAGACTCAGTCTCTGAAGCCATCTTGGATATAGACACAGATGTGGATATAGATGTGGATACAGATGTGGATATATCCACAGATGTGGATATAGAGACAAAGAAACAGGCCAGGTGCAGTGGCTCATGCCTATAATCCTAGGACCCTGGGAGGCCAAGGCAGGTGGATTATCTAAGCTCAGCAATTTGAGACCAGCCTGCTAAGAATGAGACTCCACCTTTGCTAAAAATAGAAAACTAGCCAGGAGTTGTGGCAGGTGCCTGTAGTCCCAGCTACACCAGAGGTTGAGGCAAGAGGATCTCTTGAGCCCATTAGTTTGAGGTTACTGTGAGCTATGATGCCACAGCACTCTACCCAGGGTGACTGAGTGGGACTCTGTCTCAAAAAAAAAAAAAAAAAAGATACAAGAAATATGTGAGGATGTGCCCCCTCCCTAAATATTAATGGTGAGTCAATATTTAGGGAGTATTGGGTTAATGAGTGATTTTTTTTCTTTCTGAGTCCTCTTTGCTCATTTGCACATTCTAATTTCTTTATACTACCTGGGTTATCTGAGAACTTAAAAGTTATCTGAGAACTTAAAAGTTCACGGTCAGTAAATGAGAACATTATGTTGCCAGGGATGTCCTCAGGGGAGGAAGGCTGGAAACGGAGCATCTCTTAAGGGTGTGAGCTAATGTAGATGCCTAACAGGTAGCCCTGGATTTTCAGCAGGAGCAGGTGAAGCCATTTCCTTTGGTGCCTGCTTGGAACTCTGTGGACAGAAGAGTTCAGCCATTTGAGTGCAGAAGGGGGCTCCCTTGCCATTTGGAGATGGTTGTTCTAACTGGATGCCACATATTGTGCTTGACTCTTAAAATATGATTTAAACCAACAAATTCAGATTCTTCCCAGTGGAAGCCAAGCTAGTGTACTTAAGGACAAGGATTCTTGTTTGGGTGATGATGATGGTGATGACGATGATGGTGGGGATGAAGTCGATGATTTCGTTGATGGTGATGATGACAATGGTAGACCCATGAGGTCAGGAACCCTGACCTTCATACTTACTGCTGCCTCCCCAGCACCTAGCAAAGAGCAGGCACTCAATTCTATTTACAGAATGAGTAAATAAACAAAGGATTAAGTTTCCTTGGGTGCACCTCAGTGGTCTTAAGCTAGCAAACATACAGAACAGAATTTGAGCACACGTGAAAGCCCCGTTACAGCTTCAGTCAAGTTGCTGCTGTGACTGAGACTCCAGGTGGCATGTGAGGTCACCCTGAGCCCTCTGCTCACTTCTGTGGCCCTGTGCCACACCGTTCACACCAACAAGCTCTGTCCTGATCTCAAATTGGGCCTGTGCTTCAGTAAGGATACAGCCCTGGGTCTAGCCAGGAAGGTCTTTATTGACAGAAGGGGTGATAATGAAATATTTAACAGCCAACACTTCATTGGATGCTCTGATGAATCTGAATGGTACTGTAACCAATCAGAATGGATGCCATGACCAATCAGAATGGACAGCTTGACTAATCACAGTAGACATGATAACCAATCTGAGTGGACTGTAGCCAATCAGAAGAGACACAATGACCAATCAGAATGGAACTTGGCCATAACTGGGGGCATGACCATATCTGTGGGTGCATGGGAACATTAGCCCTAACTCTATGCAACTTGGCTGTACCAAGCTAGTTGATATTAGCGGTGCTGAGAGGGGCACAGGCCCAGCTGGGAGCTACCCCCGGACCTGTTCAGATTCCTCCAGCAATTTGTGACTTGGAAATTCAGTTCCTGTGACAGGCAATGGCGTGCAAGGAAGGGCCTTTGGGAGGCTGAGGGCTCTCAATAGCTTACTAGCCTTGAACTCTGGGCAATAGTTTTAAACCTTTCATGCCTCAATTTCTCCATCTGCAGAATGGAGATAACATTTGTATGTATTGAGTGGGCTAATACACAGAAAACACTTAAAATAGTGCCAAGTACACACTTAGGGGCTCAATAAATGAATAAATAGTAGCTAAAAAATGGACTAAATAAGTGTTTGCCGTTATTCCTCATTGAAGCCTGGGAGGTGGATGAATTGGAGGAAATCAGTGATGCCACAGTTTGCCTTGACCTGCCCAGGTGTGCAGACTTACCTCCATCGAGCTCCACCTGAATCCACAGAGGCTCCCCAAAGACAGCCCGGCAGAGGGGGCTGTCTCCCAAGCTGGACAGGCCAGAGCACCCTGTCACTCTGAGTCTCTCCATCTTGTCTCTCACTGTCACCTGCTTCTGAGCTGTCACATGCCATTCGCTGGTTGTGCACTCAGCAAACACAGTGAATTCCCCAGGGGCCGTGAACTGATGGGTCACGTTGCTGGACAAACTGCCGGGCACAATCAGAAACGTTACCAGTGTTGGGGACACACGGACACACACACTCACACATGCACCTCACAGCTTCCCTGCTCTGCAAAAATAAAAAGACGAAGAAAATGAAGCTGCACAACCAAGCCCGGCTCTTGGTGTTAGGGCAGGTTACACTGAGACGTCCAGAAGCAGCTGTGGAGGGGTAGAAAATGCAGGTTGATCAGGGAGGCAAATATGGGCCTGCAGGATCCTTTCCTGCTGTTTATCCCCTCTGTGGCTTACACAGCACCCACCCTGGGCTTTTCTGCTTTATCTGTAAATTACAGGGTGCCCCAAAAGTCACCCCTAAAGCCACTATACATAGGAAGAATAGGAAATTGTAGCTAAGGGTGTCTTTGTTTACAAAATATCCAAACTTCCATTGTCCACATACCCCACCCCCTTGCAGGCCTACCCAAGTGCTCCTAGTTATTTGCCCACGCCAAACGCCTTCAGGCTCACACTGTTTCCTTTTCCCTAGATCTGCTGCTCCTGCCTCATAATTCTGGTTGCCCCAGCAAAGACTTTAGCTCTAGGTTACTCTGAGGCTTGTACTGTCTTGTCAATTATTGGTTCCCAGACAAATCCCCTCCCAGACTCAGCTGGGTGCAGAGGCTGCTCTGAATAACTGAAAAACAAGGTCAATCCCCAGATCTACCGGTAGGTGGCGCAGAGCTAACCCCGCTGGCCTTGAACAGATTTCACCTTACGTACATCACTTGTTACATGAGGCTCGTATAAAACTGCAGAACGTTTTCCACCACCAGCAAGAACACAATCAAAATAGCCCACCATGCAAACAAACACAAGAAACAGAGAATGCAAGGTGAGAAGGAGCTTCCAGCAGCGGCTCTCAACCTGTGGGTCGCCACCCACAGCAACTGTATTAAAGGGCCACGGCATTAGGAAGGTTGAGAACCCCCGAAAGGGAAAATCAGACAGGTGTAGTGGCGCATGCCTGTAACTCCAACCCCGCAGGAGCCTGAGGCGGGAGAATCGCTTGAGCCCAGGAGTTCAAGGCTACAGTGAGCTATGATCGCCCCTGCACTCCAGCCTGGGTAACAGAGCCAGCTTCTGCTTCTAAAAACAATATTAAGAAATAGGGGGCTTGGCGCCTGTGGCTCAAGTGGCTAAGGCGCCAGCCACATACACCTAAGGTAGCAGGTTCGAATCCAACCCGGGTCTACCAAACAACAATGACGGCTGTAACCAAAAAATAGCCAGGCGTTGTGGCGGGTGCCTGTGATCCCAGCTACTTGGGAGGCTGAGGCAGGAGACTCGCTTCAGCCCAGGAGTTGGAGGTTGCAGTGAGCTGTGATGCCACAGCACTCTACCCAGGGCAACAGCTTGAGGCTCTGTCTCAAAAAAAAAAAAAAAAAGAAAGAAAGAAAGAAAGAAAAGAAAAGAAATAGGGATGGCGCCTGTGGCTCAAAGAAGTAGGGCGCCAGCCCCATATGCTGGAGGGCTGGTGGGTTCAAACCCAGCCCTAACCAAAAACTGCAAAAATTAAAATACATATATATATAATAAAGTGAAAATTCTTGACTTTTATTATGATGATTTGATTTGAGGTTGGATTCTCCCTATCATTTTATTCATCTACAATAAACATGAGTTTAAAATCTCCCTTCTAGACTAACAAGGAGTTAACAGCAAAAGTAGGAGTCTGTTTAAACATTAAAGGAAAGCACAGTGATATTTACACAAGGAATGTGGCTTCTATACACTTAAAATTCATGCTATTTTCCATATTATAAATTGGGTGTAGAGACTGTTAGTGTTGATAAGAAAGTCCTAGAAATCTATTTCCCCGTGTGAATAAAAATGAGAGAAGGAGGAGGGCCAGTAGTTTCATGGTCCAACAAATCTTTAAAGTGAAGGAAATTGGATCATTTGTGTGAGGTGATGGTGGAGGGGGTGGCACCATCTATTTATTTTAAAGAAGAAAAATGCCAGTGGCTCTTGCTTAGAGTTAATGCAGGGGATTTTACAACTGTAAAATAGCGTTCATCGTTTCTCAGGTTGTAATTGCACCAAAAATTCCAGAGAGTAATACAACAAACTCCCTTGGACTCACCATCCAGAATGGACAAATAATTAGCATTCTGTCCCATTTGCTTCAGTTCTAAACCACTCTTTATCACTGTGACATCCTTATGAGCAAAAGGTCTTAGCCAGGCTACATGCAGTCAATTTTGACTTATGCCAAACGCAAGCTGTATAAGATTTGGGGGCTGAGAGTTTGTGTGACTTGCCATCCACCATTTGCTTTATATAATGGTAGCAATATAATTTCTCGATTTATGAAACACTCAAAGTAGCCATCAGCATAAATGTGACAGGGAAAGAAACAGAAATCCTGCCAGGATTGCCTCAGGGCTTCACATCACATTAGCAGCAGCTAGGATTAGAACCCCAGCCTCAAGCCTCCCAGGTGTGGGCCCACTTTTAATTGGTGTCATGGACGCTGCCCATGTGTGGTATCCATGACCTCCGAGACCAGTGAGTCTGAGATGTGAATACACTGGGTCTGATTTGGGATGTGGACGGAGTTGGCCCCATTTGCTCCACCCCACTCAGGGCTTCCAGGAATTCTAGGCACCCAGGAGCCTGAATTCAGAACCTCCAGCTTCTGCCCTGTACACCTGCAGGTGTTCTGGGCTTCGGAGAAGAGCACATGGCCAGGGGATCCTGGGCCTCCTGATTTCCCCAGTGAACCATATTGACAGGAGGTCCCTAGGGGGATGATGCTTTCAGGGGGGAAACTGTTGAAGTAACACAAATACCCATTATCATTGTTTTGCAGATTTCTTCTTGTTTACTACCATTTCATCAGCAAAACAGGTATATTATGAATCTAATTTATCTAAAACCCAAGGAGGGCTGAGATTCTGAAACATTCTGGGGCACCCCTCCTGCTGGAGCATTCAGCAGAACAGAA